TCGTCACTGTATCAATCGATAAAAATTTAGCAAGGATTTGAGAAAGTGAAACATTTCATCACTTTGGAGAAAAATGGTGGTGAAAAAATAAAAAAATTACACAAATATTTAATACTACAACGCGCTTTTTTGAGAACTGTGCGCAAAGTAATAATTAGTTTATATTTGCTGACTTAGTTTGTCGTTCGTGCTCTCCCAAGTATCGATTCAAACTTAAAAACAAATGACAAAGTAAAGTAAATCTGTGAGCATGGCAAATTTGCAATGAGACAAAAGCAGTGCAGGAAGTAGTAAATGGTTTTTCTCGTGCCTTGGCCACTTGTCGGAAAATTATAAGACTTTGTTGCTCTTCCACAAAAATAAGTGTTAATCGATACTTGGGATGGGACGAATGAGTAAAAATGAATTAAAATAGACTATAAAAGCAAACAATTGTCACTTTGAGTAAAGTCTTTGCTGTGTATAAGCAACGTAAACTTTCCTTTCGTAAAAGTATGCTCCCAAATCCATTTGCTCTTTTATTTCTTTAATAACTTTGGATTATTGCCTTGAAGTCATTTCAGTACTGAATTGATGGCAGACATTGCGTTCTTTAGCCCAGAGAAAAAAAATATTTTCTTGACTTTTTGACGCAAAAAATGAGAAAACGACACGAGAAGTGAAAATTTAACTTTAAATTTTTACTGTTTTCTCATAATTCTCAGCTGAGTTATACATTAAAATCTACTGCTTTACAAAAAGCTGTTAGAAATATTTTACTGAATCATAGATGGAAGACAGGTTTTCATGAAATCATAGAGTCTTTTATGCTTAACAATCTTAACTTGTGAGGACATATTTTATTATAGAATTTCAATTTGCAAATCATCTAAAAGTAATGAAAAAACACCTCATGAACATTTTGTTGGTAAAACAGAACATGAAGCAATATCGATGTTTATAACAAACTTACATGAAAGTTTTGTTGGAAATGCTCATTTACTCTTATCATCATGACAAGTTGGAAATAAACTTACAACAGTCAAGCAAAGTGAAAATGGTAATAGAACGGCAGAAAGAACTATATTGATGATTATAATAAGGCAAGTAAAAAAAGATCAGTGAATGAACGAAATAAATTTTATTTGAAATGCTCAAATTCATTTTGATAAATAAAACTATATAATCTATTGTAAGCTTTTAGAGGTCAAGATTAATTTTGATAAGATTAATTACATTCGTCAAAGAAAAGGTCAAAAAATTTCAAGTATAAAATTCTTTTTGTTAAATGAAATTCTTTTCAAATTTCTTTCAAAGTTCAATATTATAAAAAAAAGAGATCAATTACTGCAAGTTGAAATTAGGATATTTAAGCATCATAACACAAAGATAAGTTTTAATCACGAATAAAACAAATTCATGCTAATTCTCCAATTATTTGGAGCTAAATTTCCAAGTTCATTACTTTATAGAAACTGCATTCATTTTACACAATAATGGAAGAATAAGTAGAAAGTTTCGCAGAATTAATGAAAATCTACAAATTCAGTGCTTTAAAAAATAAAAGAAAATGGAATACCACTGAATGTTATAAGCAGACAGTGATGAAAAATTTTTATTGCTGTACTAACATCGGCACAGTGAGCAATTGAGCAATGCATTAATAATAGGAAGTCAATTTTCAAAACTATTCCTCTAGCAGTGAGCATCATTTTTGTTTTCAGAGAACATTTCTCACAGCTGCAATTAACTGTCAATATAAATATTGATCGTGATCTGCTTTTGTATGAATTTTTAATTATTTGCTTTAATTTGATTCTTTTCGGAAAAGTGAAAAACGTCTGTTATCCAAATTTTTCATCTGTCAATATGAGTTAGTTAATCAGTGACTTCGAACCAGCAAGTAATTCTATAGAAATTTTTTGCTTTCTTGGTAAAGTTATCACAAAATAAGCTTATTAAGTAAACAAAATACCTTTTAATTTGTCAAAATGAAAGCTTTTTACAGCAAAAATTCATTATGTCTCAATAAAATTAGAGAAACTGGAATGGAATTAATTGCATGTGTTCGCAAAAAGATTTCATTTTGCAAAAGTTAAGAATGGAAAAAATAAGATTGAAAATGGAAAATATCACTTCCATAAAGCTAAAAATTCGCTCGTAAACAAAGTCAAATTAATGTAAGGAAGCTCAAAGTTGAAGCTATTTTCGTCTAGTCATTATTGAATAATACAATATAAGGAAAAAGTTGTATTATTTATTACTGGCTAGGCTCCAAGCTAAGTTAATAACTTTTTTAGTTGCAGACGTAAGAAAACTGGAAATAAACCAACGACTAAAATTATAACTTTAAGTTATTTTCAAATTTTCTTTGGCTATCAACACAGAAACAGTGCAGAACTACAGAGTCCAAGGCTAAAGTTTTGTGTGCTTGCTGAAAAGCATTATTTCATTTCTATTAACGAGAAAAGAACGAACAAATTGCATCTCGATCTAGTGCGTATATGCTCATAAAAGCAGTCATATTTCATCTCAGTAGAATGAGAAAGAAGATTAAGATAGAGCGCTCTTTAGGATAAGAGCGTGTATACCACAACATTTACAATTCACGACTACTTCCGTAGTACTTTGACCTCTTACTGTTATGGCTTCATTTATTTTAACAAAGGTGAAAATAATTCGAATGCAAGTATTCTGAAAAAAGAAATTCATAAATTTCTAAAGAAAGTGCTGATAAACAAACAGTGATGAATTTCTCTCTTTCTTTGAGCAAATAGCGTTAGATACATACAATTTGTGTGCGCTTCTTCAAAGTGCTTACTTTTGATTCCGAACTATCCAACAATTCACGATCAGAGCTAACATCTAATCATAATGTAATTCAAAATACTTTTCTTGGTCAAAACTATTGAGAACAGGCCACAGATTTGCAAATGCATTTACGCATGTGAGTCAGTAATGATTGCCTAATGTATACCTTCTTACCTATCAAAAAAATCTGCTGCTGACAAATTTAGTAAAAAGCAGATAATGCTTATTCTGAATATGAAATCTACCGAAAACCATTTGGTAAATTTTCACACGTGCTTGAAATGTTGTCCATTTTTAATCTGGTATTTTTATTTTCTAACCCAGTGGTGAATTTTTTAGGTATTTTCGAAAGCAATCAAATAATTCTTCTTTCATAATTTTCAAATAAATGTCTTGTTTGTTTAATTAAAATATTGGGATGAATTATTCATGGACGTTTCACACGTGCTTGAATTCGCTTTTCATGAATTTTAATTCGATCATGTCACAACAAAAACAATACAGTTATGAAAATCTTTCAAACAATACCACATTTATAGTACTCAAATTTCATGATTATTGAATACACATGGAAAATGATCAAATAATTGTTTTTAGTCTTCTGATTCCCATTGCATTATAATAGAGTCGGTGCACACGCGTATACAATGTGTTCCTAGTATCTGCTTACAAAAAATTATGGCCAAGTTAGAAAAGCCGACATTATGAATAGGCTTTTTTAATTTGACTGCACTCAATATACAAACCAATGATTAAGATTTTACCTCCTAAATTCGCTTTTTAATGCTATCAGAAGGTGCGCTGCTTTCTGATGTCATCAAAAGTTTTTGATACTATCATACTCTTCGGTTACAAAGAGATTCTAACGAATACCTGAAGATATGAAATAGGTTATCGTCGTCAGCTATAAGCAAATTTATGCATTCACTTCATATTTATGTGTTTATTGCTTCATTAAATTGGCATTAGTACCAATTTTTAAGTCACTTACATTAGGTGTCATATTAATTTTAATATATACCGAGATAATTAAATTTTGGTCTGCTTTTACTGATTAACAAAGTAACTTTAAAACATGCCAATAGATCACAGTCAACGTATACTGTGGAAAAGTTTAATGCCCCCCATCAAAATAAAAGAATATATAATGAAGAAAATTCATATTGTAAGAAGACAAATTTGATGTGATGAATTTGAGATAAGCTATTTTATAACGTCGAAAAAAGAGTGGTTTGAGATTTTAAAAAAATTATTAAGAATCATTAAAATTCATTTCTGTAAACAATATTTTGATCAATCCGCAATCAAATTTAAAATTTTTATTAGAAATTGCGAGAATTCGCCTTATTTAGCAAAAACTTTTCTATATTACGTTAAAATAAGTGTCAGACCAAACTAGTCCCCTTTGAATAAAATTACTCAAAAAGTTTTACTTATTACAGGAAAAGTAATTTTAAAGAATTCACAATTAACATAGAAAATTGAAATAGTAATTCGTGACTAATTAATTTAGAAATGAAATTCACATATCCTCTATTTTTCAGCCTACAAATAATTAGCATACTTACATAAAGAGGTAGGGATTTCAACCTCTTAGCATTGAATACTAGGTGAAAACAATCTTATTAATCTATCAAAAATAAAAAAACAATGTAACATTTTCACAGCCAAGTTAATCAAATTATTCAAAGCCCAAGTTAAATTCCATACTTACCAGTGATTGCATATCACTTCATAATCAAGTATTAGATGAAGACAATGTTGATCTGCAAGGTTTGTGGAATGATGTAAATATTCCCGCCATATGATGTTGCGACCGATGTCTTGAACGCGTTTGAGATAATGATTTTTCAGGAAGAAGAGAGCCATTAGGTCGATTTCCTGCACTTCGTGCTCGTTCTGTAATCAATCGAAAAATGTGCAGTTTAACTTTTCAAATTACTGTCAGTTAAATTTTAATGTCTGGAGTATAATCGTATATTATGTTTAATCCGTTTGCTGAAATGTGCTTAAAATTTTCAGAAAATGAAGCGTAAATTTGATGTAAATTAATAGTGCTGATAATTTTTAATAGATTTTTGAGAGATAAAACTGTTAGAGATACGAAATACCTTTAAAGTTTTCTATTACAGGAAAACACAGAAAATTTTTTGCTCCATTCAATGGCTTGATTTAATAACTACACAAAATCTGAATTCTTTCGCAGAAATTCAAATGCTTGAGTTGAGCTCACCTTTAGCGCGTATTCCAGCGCTCGATGATACTATATCGGTTTTTTGAGAATTTTGGATGGAAATAGGGCGGTAAATCGATCGAGCTGTATCGTAGTCGGTGTCACTGCATTCTGCTTGTGCAATTGGTGCTTTCCGTTCTTCTGTTCGATTTGCCTCCGTTGATGACTGCCTTATTGTACGGATGGCACTGTTAGAATGCGATCGCCGAAAAGTTGAAGACAAACGACCATTCGAAATAATAGCATGTCCATTGGTTGTTGCAAGAGAAGCTGTTGTCTTGCTTGACCTCAATTGATCATTTGAATAATTTTTACCCTTTTCTGTATGAATCAAGAAGGGAATATTATGCTAACAAAGTTAAAGTAATGTTCGCACTGCTAGTGCTGCAATAGCGCTTTACTGTTCAAAAGCATACTTTCTAATCTTCAGAGTAAGCAAAAATAAGCAATAATTTAACTTCTTGTTACTGTAATCTATCAGTAATAAATTTTTTTAGTGACAGTATTAGACAGTTGTGATATCATTAACTAATGCTGACTCATTAAAATCACTTATATGGCAATGAAATTTAAACTATATGGATCACGTCATCGAGTGTTATATAAATGGTGATCTTTTGGCTTGAATAAAAGGTTTTGAAAGAATATCTCATCGATTGGGCTAGTACTGCAGAAAACAACCTTTTATTACTCATCGTGTTATCATGATGAATTCGCTTGATTTGTGTTTTCTTTTCCGAGATCAAATCATATAATTTATTACGGTAATCATCCACATTTAGCTGAATGTGATCCGGTAATGGAAGTAAAACGTCATAAGTTAACGTTGGTTCATCAATCGGGGAATGAAACGGTAGTACGTATGGATGCATCAAACACTGATCAACATTCAAACGTTTATGAGGAGCAAAGATCAACAACCTAAACGATACTGAATACTGTATTTAGTTAAAAACTACAATATAAAACGTCCTTCTTTATAATTCAATATTGTTATTACAGGATTTATGCCTACTATTATCCCAAAAAAAACGATCACAGCAACCAAAATCTCGAATTAAAAATATTATTAAGAAAACATATTGTTTTCATTCTATGTATTATATGTAAATAGTGAAGTTACGTTAGAAAGTAAGCAAACAATAATTTCTGACTCCTGTAGAACTATAGTAATAAAAAAGTGTATTATGCTCTAAATATTCTTCATTGCTAATGTCAGATATGTAATGAAGTTCTGGAGCAATGATTTTTGTCACCTTTGTATAAGATCAATAGCCTGAGGGTCATGATTCTCAAAAAATGCTTCTAGAGATTTTCGCGGTCTTTGAGGCATTTTTTCTAGCACTGATGAGGCGTAATATGATCTAATACTTCCAATATCTTTCTACAAAAGTATTTATTGATCAAGTTTTTAATTTGTTCAATTCCGCTTTGAATTATTTTGAGCGCTACCAAACAAGTTTTGTTTTTGACTGATCTTACAATATAATAATGAGCAATATTTCTTGCGTAAAATATTTATATTCAAAAAATTTAACTTTTGGTTTTGCCTGTGTGGTGATAAAGAGAACGTGATCTTATCTTGACTACAAAATAATTTTACGGGCTATTTGATGTAGTATATTGCATGTTTCATCATTAATGGCTGGAAAAATGAATGAAAATTTAAAGCAGTAAAACAAAAAAGCATGAATTTTTGATCTGACTTCTCTGCCAACAACTTTCTTGTTCAAAAATAATAAAAATCTATGAAGGAAAAAATAACGATTGATGGTTTCGGGATGGTATTCATGATCCGTTCAATCTGATTAATCGTTGAAGTGCCAGGAAAGAGAGCGTGGCCAAGAAGCATTTCGCCAAGAATACAACCCAGGCTCCACATGTCAACTCCTTTTGTATATCTCTTTGCAGCCAATAAGATCTCTGGTGATCGATACCATCGAGTTGCCACATATTCCTCAAAAAAGCAAAATTTGCGGACAGAGATCGAGATTCAAAAGTAAAGTAAGAAGTGAAATGCAGCGTTGTTATGCTGTGCTGTCAACAGAGGTTAAGATTACAGACAGAGCTGATCATGTTATCATAGTAGATTTGTTTGATTTGTGTCAAGATCAAATCACATGATTGATTTCGATAATCATCTACATTTAGCTACAATCCAGCAATGGGAGTGAAACATTATAATTTAATGTAAGGAATTTCTGTAGCACCAAAAGCTGAGAATACAGGATGAAACCTAAAAGTTGTTTGCAAGTAAAGACTGTCAGAAAGTACGGAATAGAGAAGGGCCATACTTGGCGATGACTGAAAGCTTTCATTATCAAAAATAATGGATTGCAAAGTGTTCTGTTATAAAGCTTTCATTATCAAAAATAATGGATTGCAAAGTGTTCTGTTATACCTTTCCATACTTCTCATTTTTCTTAATATCTTTGCTTTTTATAGAAATATTTTAGTATATTAATATGATAGTGTTTACAGTTAATTCAGGCATGTTTTGACCCTCGGGATAGTCTTCGATTTGAGACAACGACCTCGCCAAGCCAAAATCAGCTAATTTTACGTGACAGTCTGCATCTAGCAATATATTCGATGGCTTCAAATCACTGAAATTTGATGATTATCGAATAATTTGATGATTCGATTTATTATCCATTTTATTATCCCAGACATTATTCACACATTTCCTTCAGTCATTATTTTCAGCAGAATTTCAAATCACTCCGATTCTTGATTGCAATAAAAAAAGTTTGAGGAAACTGACCGATGCAAGACATTTCCGCTGTGAAGAAAACGAACGGCTCGAAATAATTGGCACATAATGTACTGCTTATGAATATCTTTCAAAATCGTTAGCTTCTTGATAACATTATGCAAATCAGCTTCCATGAATTCAAATACCAAATATATATCTCTAACAATGATCTCAATCATAATTAGCCGTTCACATAACTTCTGAGAGAAAATATGCGTTTAAATTTCCATTGATATATTTATAAATGGCTACAAATCATAAGTATAAAATGGAACCCAAACTCTACTTTCTACCCAGTAATTATGCATGAAAATAATTCTATGTAGAAAAACGAAAATAAAATTTAAAAAGACTGCAATTATGTGTTTTAGACTATCTTCATTCTCAGCAATAAGTAGATTAGTTTTTTAATTTGTCAATATTTACGATTAAATTTTTCATTTTCAATGAGACAAATGTGATAATAAAATGATATAAAACAATCAAATTAATACAGTTCATTTTGGATGAATTTGAAGTGAATCATAAAGAAATTTTAAAACTAAGTGTTGAAGGTCGAAAGAATGTAAACCAATTAATTACTTTTGTAAGAAGAAGACTTTTACTTGGCATTACAGCTAACTTATTATTATTAGCTTTGCTGACATCATGCTTGACAGCTAACGATAAAATCCAGGAACTTGTTATTAATGATTATAATTCTGAAAGCAGTGAAAGCATAACTAACTTATCGTTATCAGCTTTGATGACATCATAAAGTTTGATAATATTAGGATGCCTTCCAAATTCCTGCAGAAACATCACTTCGCGAAACGTTCGCTGGGCATCTGTCTGGTTCCGGAAAGCATCGAAGATTTTCTTCAGTGCTACTGTTTCTTGTGTTCGCCTAAGTGTTTAAACAGAGAAGAATAAATTCACACAAATGATTATTAACTCAATATATATATGACATTGCGCCTTTTACACATATTTATGACTTGGGGATTTATTTATACATTTTATAAATTTTTCAATCTTTCAACTATGACTTTTTCTTCCTCCTATTATTTTTGCATTTGCTATAATTATGCAGTCTTGCACACTTTGATGCATAAACATTCTTGGCCCATATGAACTCGTCTTGGGATATCGAAAATTTTGGAGACAAATTATGCAGAGAGTTTGGTAATCTATAAAAACCTCTTTCTTCGATTACAACAGCCATTATTAAATGACTATTTCAATCAAGACTGTTTAACTTATTGAGCAGTATGCGCACAGGCCGAGAAAAGATCAGTAAAAAGTCTCAGACACATTTTCTAAAAATAGCATCATATATTCTCTCAGATTCCGACTTTACTATGATGCATTTTAGATTTCTTCATTGAATCGCGGAGCATTCCATTTTGCTTTATAACAAATAACTTCATGTAGATAGAAATATACCGGTTCAATCATGTACACTTCTTGTCCGATAATTTTTAGGAGCAGTGGCTTCTAAATTAGTGTTTATTGTCGTTTTCACTGGATGTGAAAGTTTCGGTCAATTTCTTAGCAAATTTTGCTGCAGTTGTAAGTGGAAACAAATTTCAGAGTTCTCAAATAAACAATTTGCACATCAAAACTGATTCACTTTCAGAGCCATTTTAACATAATTTTTAGTTGCTTTGCTTAATTTTCAAATTAAGCAGGGGAATTATATTAAACAAGCTTCAAAAATCATATTAGAAAAATGAACATTCAACGCGAGCACTCATTTTCTTAGTTAATTAAGACCATTTAATATTTTATAGATCATTTCTTACTTTTAGTGAGCTTATAATATATTTTCTAACTTTTAATACTGATCTAGAATCCTATAAACTTATTTCTCTCGATATAAGTTGTATAAAGCATTCTAAAAAGTACTGAGAAATGCATATAAAGAATGAAAACAGCAAAAAAAAAATGTATTTGTTCAATATCTTAAATTACTGCAAAAGCTTGTGGTTATTGCTTTTCAGTGAATAGGATTTGTAAGTTTTAAAGAATGCAATTTTAAATGCATTTTTTCTGAAGATATTGCATCGAAAACTTGAAAACATGATCTATAACGTCAATGATTTCAATGATAGTAATTTACGTACTGGAAGGCAAATTATATCATAAGTTTAAGGTTTCTATCATTTTCCACAAAAACAAACCTATCGATAGCCTTCCAAACAATTCCGTAAGCACCTTTGCCGAGACGTTTGTGTAAATTATAGCGTTCAGTGATGTGTGTGTCGATGTCTTCAGACATTATATAAGTTGCTGATGAATTAGCTTTTTACGTTGAAAGTGTCGAACAAGAAGTATATTGTCGGATTATGGAATTAAATGCTCACAGAATATGAGTCAGGATCGATGCTAGTAAAAGCAGTGAGCTTAAGGTTTCTAAAATTCAGTTATGTATAATTTTTGATAAGTCACAAGCAGTTTTGATCGTTTTTTACATGCGAATGTTCTGAAGAATACGAATATGACAAAACTGATAGTTTGCAATAATATCTGTTGCAATTATTTCGATGGCCTCTCATGGGTGTTAATTGAAGATCATCTTGAATTGTTTTTCAATTTTTCTTACGCTGTTTTTGAGATTGCTAAACACCAATAAAACTTGTTTCTGTGACAGAAAGCCAATAACTTGAAAATTTTACTCAGAATTTGAAAAAACAGGCTGTAAATTCTAAAATATTAAAAAACTTTTGAAAAAAAAAATTTTATCAATCAATTTTAAAAAGTAATGAAACTTTGTATTTGCATATTCAACAATAGTTTTGTTTCCGGAAAGCAGTAAAACTATCTTTTTTTGCTGTGGTATGGAATGAATTTATTAAATAATTAATTCATGACATTTATTAGTTTTCATTTCTCACTGATTATGGCAATCCACTACGCATTTCAATTAAAATCAATATAGTCTTCAGTAATTTGAAATGAAACTCATGAATCTGTTTTTTAAAAATTTGGCTAAAATAATTATAGTTGACACTGCTTATCTCAAAGTACGGTGCCCGTCAAAAATACCAAGAACATAGCACAACCGTTGTCGAGCGTTACTTTCAAAACTTATTTCCAATCATTTTAAATTTAATCTTTGGATCAAAATACAGGATTTAGTTTTTGGGATGAAGCCTTCAATTTTTCTTTCGAAAATTCAAGCAGAAAAGTGGAACACAGTAGTGCACCGTAACATTAAGAGTTGAGCACTTGGAAAAGAATCGATTTAAGATTTAAAAATAGAGCTATAAAATGAAATAATTTCATTTAAAGAATGTATTCTTTGGAAAATCAGAAGAAATGAGTAATGAGCACTTCGAACTTGGCGCTTACAACGCAAATTTGAAGTACTTTAATTGTCTTTAATTGGAAAGTAGAAAACAGAGTAACGTAATAAGGGAAAAGTAACTTGGGTTCTATAAATTTTTGTGCCAAAAAAGCATGACAGTGAACTCGATGAATCGAACACACAACAAATTTCAGGAAATAAAGTCGGTTCTGGAAGGCTAAGACTGTCATGATAATGGCTAGTTCCACTTAATAATTTTAATAGTATGAAGTAGGAACTTTGAATAATGGAAAATACAGACTCACAAGCACCCGAAAATAAAAGTGATCAGTAAAGGCACCACAATTGTAGTCGCTCAAAAGATAGACTCACTTTGCTGTGGCTATAGCAACCAGCAGATATACCTGCCAAAGATAAATCAGACTTAGTAGCTTACCAGACCTGAAAAGCCTTAAGGCCACATCTAACCTCTCTTGCTCACCATCCTTTCAATCAACATTTCCATAATTCACAAGCAGATGAATATTTTCAGACTTGAGAAGCAATCAAAAAGATGTCTTTGTAACTTTTTTTTATTTTCACCTGTGTGGTTCGGTTTCAAAGTTAATATTTATTGAAATTAAAAAAAAATTCTTTCGCTTAACTTTCAGGGAGAGCGTAAGTTTGCTTGTCATTTATTAATTTCAGTTAATTGCCTTACGAATTTCACTTTTGAGATGCAATCCATAGAACCCATAGTGCTTTTGATTTAGTCTAGATAACTTTTCAGGTCAGAAAACATTTAGCTTGCAGAGTCTTAATGAAAAATAATTGATAGTAGCAAGAGAGTACTGAGTACTTGTAGCTGTCACGGGATTGAAAGAATCTTATTTAAAAAGTCATTTACTTTAGCAATCTGCAGACCTTTCATATATAACATCAGCGACAAACTACCGTTTCTTCATTGATCAATGTTCGCAGTGATCCATACGTGTTTTTAGCTCCTCTGTTTATGTAATTGTCTTTTGCTCTATTTCACTTTCTCAAATACATCACATGATTGGGAGGATTTTTAATGTTTACAACTTGTAAACACTTTAATACTGCAAATTATTGCTGCACATGACTTTGCTCAAAATTTCTTTCCGCTAACTCCGTCTTTGCATACTTGCTTTTTCCAAAATACCAAACGCTATGTCACACCAAGATGTTAGTTTTCGTTTTTATTTTCATTTTTAATAAAACAATTCTTATTCCATATTAAATTGTAGGAGCAGTCAAAAGAATAATAGCACATTAGCTAGCATTAGTTACATTTACAGATGTTACCAATTTCCATGTTATGATCTTTTTTTTTCAAAAATTGCTTCATGGAAATAAAATTTTTGAGCTGATCAGAAAAATTGAAAATGATTACTGCGATATTATATTTACTTGCAGTTATTACAAAAACTTATTCTATTAGTAGCTATGATTTAGTTTTTCACATTCAATCATTCTCAAGAAGTAAGCAGACAGTTATTTGTTAAATTGAATATTTGAGCCTCGTGAAGAAATAATTTTGAAAAACTTCATTGCAATCAATTTTTTGCTCACAATTTAATAAAGAATTTGGGATAAAAATTAATATGCATATGGCAGTCGGTTTCTGATAACGGATTTCAAAAATTCCATTGCAGTTTTTCTCGATTACTAGTAAAAGGTTTGCTAATATTTTAAATTTTATTATCGCTCGTACTATCTTCTGATAGCAATGATTGATGGGCAAATAATTTCTACCTTATAATATTGATTTTTAATCTAAAATTGCTTGCAAAATCGACTTCGCTTTTCTGAATTGATGTCAGAATGATAATAAAAATAATTATATTTAATTATTTTTGATGTCATTGATTAAGCACTACAGAAATTCCACTTTAATATTTCCCATAAATCACAGATGCTCGTCTTAAACATCCCGTAAATTAATTATATAATACATTAAGGGTCTTGTTTTTAAGTTTAGAAACGCAGTAACTACTAAATGTTGTGAATAATTTCTGCAGTTAAAGTATAATCTTTTAACAACGACAAAATGTAGCAAATTTTTTGCTTGAATATTGTATTTTTAAATTTATTACAAAAAAATGCACTGCTATTTTAAAGCCTCGGATTTAGAAAGGATTAGTCGAAACTGCAAGAGATTTGGCATCAGACGCTGTTGAAACAGTGAAGGGAAAGGCACAAGAAACATACCGTCAGGTTGCAAATCATTAAATTTTTTTTATACCGTTCCGTAAATTGCATTCAAAAGCGCTAGTCAAACAGAATGAGTAAAGTGAGAAGTATTTGCAAAACTTTGCAGTATAATGGCGGCAATCAATATGATTGATAACATAATGATGAGTAACAGTGCAGTGATAAATTATAAAAGTTACTTGCGTTAATATTGGCATCACTTATTCATACCTCAGAAATAATCATTCTCAACATATGAAAGTATTTATTATACAATATCAAAGCTGCGGCCATTTTAACTCACTCATTTTCTTTCACAAATAATTATGATTCACATTTTTTGGACATATCTTTTTCAAGTTTTTAAGTATTCAATTTACTCACGTACGAACAGTAATTCAGTATTAAAATTACCAAAGTACTTGATGTCATTTTTGGTATTAAAACTGCAGTTAAAAGGAGATGGTAACGAAATGAAGGATAGTACGAAAGAAACCATAAGTGAAGCGATTGACAAGACCAGTCAAAAAGTGAAAACAGCTGGTAAGTTTCATGGTGCATTTAATTATCGTGAAGAATTGAAATAATTAAAGGGTCATTCAATTATTCATAATTATTAATTACAGAAGCGAATGTTATGAGTTTTTATAATAATTAATTAATTTGTTGTGCGATAAATAACTGTTTTGCATATGAAATAGATATCAAAAAACCAATAATAATTTGTATATTAATTTAAATGAGAAGTTATTTTTTTTAAAACCACATTGTTATCGCAATTACATTGACAATCATCAAATGAAGCAGCGAAGTGAGTTAGATTTGTTGAACTATTCATATTTCAGGTGAAAAGATGCATGATGCCGCACGTGATATCTCACGCTAGGCATTTAAAGATCAGGGTATAAATTTCTGACTTCTACTACAGTGAATATAAGGGAGTGCTATATCTACCCATCCAACTTGACTGCAAAAACTAGAATTTAGTATTTGGGGCATATTTTTATTTTCTTTTGTAGTTCTTGAGAAAAGATTTCGCATTATATATATACTGAAAATAAAGTGATTTATTGATTTAAATTTGTACTTCAAGACATTAAGTGTATTCTTGTGCGATAAAAATTTATCCAATGGAATAAACGATTGGCAGTTTTGTATGCTACAAATGTGCCAAGTACACAAGTAACGAAAATTTAGTTTGCTACCACTCCGATGTTTCTATGTTTTTGCACTCTTCAAAATCTCTTTATGATTGAATAAATCTGCATAGTTTATAATTGTTTGTAGAGTCACAAAGAATCTAAATAATTCAAATTAAAAATTGTAAACTAACAATTACCGAAGGCTTTATTTACATAACAATATTTTGCATTGCTTATGAAAATCTTACTCTTATTATTGATCAATATAGTCATGGCTATGTAAGAGCCCGTCGGTCTTTTTCCATCGTAAACTTTTGTGAAACCGTTTACCTTACGAACTGTCACGTGTAATTTCTTTTTATAAAGTCACTGAAAACACATTTACCATGTAAGCACCACTGTTTTTACATTAGTGATAATCAATTTGAAGGAAACATGGAAAGTTAGCCGCCAGCACAATGTGAAGATTTGACAGATCTGTTTCATTGATCATAATATCACTATAAGACAAGGTTCCTCACTTATAATAAAAGGTGTTACTCATTCGTACCGTTCAGATAATGTAGGTAACTATATAACAATCATGACATGCCGTTCACAGAGAGAGTTCCCTTAATCATCACTACGGTCTCGAACTTGACCTACACAAGATCTCAACACACCTTAACACCACCACTACACCAACAAACCATGCCGTTCGTAGCCAGAAATTCGTGATGATACTTTTTATATAACAGTTTAACTTCATTCACAGTGTTTAAATAGCAAATTGAAATTTGGCACTTTACTTGCAGCTGAAAATTTGTCATGTGATTTTCATCGTTACAATAAATTTTGTTGAATTTAAGAACGCAGCAAAAAAATGTCTTCATCTGTAGTTTTTATCACAAAATTTTGATCGGAATGAAAATACAAAAATTGACTCTCGCATATAGAAGTAAAATATAGTGCTTGTAGGGCATTACATACTTGATCTGCATTACTGGTTGACCTTTGCTTATGCAATGAATCAACGTTAATTATTAACTTTAAGCTTATCAAATCAATAAATGAGCACATAAGTGCTGTAACACCGACTGTTTAAATTCGACATTGCAAATCTTTTATCTTTTTATTCAAAATTAATTTTTTATTTATTATGGGAGCATTGTTATTTATTTGACATGCACACTTTTCGTACGATATACTGTCGCTTTTCTCATCTGTAGGATAATATTAGAAAAAGGGAGAAAAGACTAAAGTGGGATAGTTTAGGTTTGTGCTTCACTTTCTTGGATCGCTTGAGCTCTGAAATAAATATGCTATTAAAAATTTCTTTATTTCATGGATTCAAATACATAACAAACTTGACATTTAATTCAAAAATTTCTGATAAAACCAATTGTTAGTTTAAAAAAAAATTTTTAATATTGTTAGTACTTTTTAGGTTGACTCGAAATCAATACAATTTTATAAAATTTTATGATTAAAATAGCAAAATTTTTGGGATTTTCGTGATTACAAAATTAAGCAATGATTTGTTTCTTATCAAAAAGATTTTTTACAAACTTACGTCATTACTGGAATAACTGTTTGTGCTTGAATACATAGACCACTATCTTTGTCGCAAAGTTGCCCATTAGGGCACATGTCATTCACGCAAGCTAAATAAGACGTTGAATTTGAAAAATTGTTTTTAATAATTTTCTAAATTAAGCAAACTGATTTTTAGAACTGTGAGCTGATATGCCTTCATTTCTTTTTATTTATTTAAATAAAGTAAAATTAAATGACGATTATTTATCCACGAAAGGCATTTCATTTGCTTTCCAATGCGTGAATGCATAGGCAGCACTAATTGATTGTGCTAAAAATGTCAAATGCGCTCAAACTTTCAGAGATTTTGGAAGATCGTCTCGGCTTCATTGCAAATGATTGCACAAAAGATCAAAAATGAAAAAACTAAAGGAATATTAATTAAATCCTTACGGTATTGATCATTAGATGCACTTGTCAACATTAGCACTGACAAAATAAGACAGTATGCTAAGTGAAGCATAATTGTAGAATGATAGTTCAATATTGCAAATAGGAATAGAAAATTTAAGTTGTTATACTGACTGCGTGAAGATGAAACTGCTTTTATGTGCTTCTATAACGGACAGCTATGTTTATTCATGCATATTTACACATCAGTACTTGATCAAAACAGTGAAATGTGCATTTGTTTAGCTGCGCTTGCATTTTATCATCAAGAGTGAGTCACAGCAAACAATCAAAATATTCATGAAACTGTAAATGTTCTCTATAATTTTTAAATTTAAACAAAATAAAAATCCAAGTTTGTTGTTACGTTTTACAAGTAAAAATTACATAGGCAATGTGTACAATGGATGTGACAAGCAGTTTGATAACTATTTGCATCTATTCTTCACAAAGTTCAAGCAGTGAAACTGTAAAAATTGACTAGAATTCATCATGCTTTTACTTCGCTGCGTAAATGCATGACTAGAATGATCACGTTATGAGCGAACAAAAGTAATCAGATTTAATTTCTCTGCTAACTCTAAAACTTAATTATATACCACATTCTTAAAACTTAAAAAAAAAGTATTGATATCTTTATTATTCACAGAAATCCTTTAGTATGATGTACTTCTGAGCTGAGAAATTAATTTGATGACTTGTTTCAAGTAATGTACAGCAGTACAATCCATTCTAGGCAGAATTGCTTTTTATTTATTTATAAATAATTTATTAATAAATTATTCAACTTTAATAGTGATTGTAAAAAATGGAACTTTATGATTAAATGAAGCAATACAAAATAAATAAATATAAACCTAAAATAGATAGGTAAGAATATGAATCATTGGCTGAATTATCTTCCATGAAACTGTTACTGCTACCGCTATCGTAGTAGCTGATGTCAGTATCCTTATCGATGAAAACATGCCTACTGATGCCAATTTCTGACCTATGACCCTGCTCATTTGCCATGTCTGTAGTTGGGTTGGCATTATCATCAGCTGATACGACAAACCTCAAATTCTCCTCATCATTCCGTTCAAAATGAGATTGCTTGATTATATCTTTTTCATCATCATTGGACCGAATTATTTCTGCTTTACTGTTTGATATTTCCTGAGACAAAAGTTTTACATTATTCATGACGAATAAATGATCTGAATATGCAAATACTTGGCTGTAACTTAGCAGAGAAGAAGATCATACTCTCTGCTAAGTTCCACCATTTTTGGCATTTTTGGCACTGATATGTAAACATTGCTAGTTTTCACCAAAAAACTATAAAAACATTCATGCAAAATTATCGTCAGTATTTTGCCGGATTTTTATATTTTTCAGAAGATTTTGCTTTCCGGGAAATTTAGCTAACTTTTTTTCAAATTCTTTTGCATTATTTTTTTGACTTATTTACTTTTATGTTGGCAAGTGAAGCATGAGCCTACTTTGGTCTTTGAAAAATTCCAGTTAGATTTATAGCATGATGCTGTCTACTTGTTGTAGTAAAAGAAGTGGCATCGAGTTAGCACCAAACCAACTTGCTTTGAAAATTCAAAGCAGCGAAAAGTCAGATACTAATTTATATGAGTTGGACACATTATTTACCGACTCAAAAGATTTCATACAATTCAAACATAATTCAGTCATGAATTCTAAAGCTATACTTATTTTGCAAGTAATATTTTTCAAAGAGCATATGTGACAAAGTAGTGTCTTACTGAACTATCGATGGTATATGCAGCAGTAGCTGTAGTGATTCTGTAGGGTAATTCAGAAGCTGTGGGAAATGATGCAAATGGATGAGATTGTAACGGAAACTATACCGAAAGATTGGGTTCTACGGTGAATTGACATCCTGGCAGTAAGGTCTTGGTAGTGTCGTGTAGAACACGAATAATCATCTTCCATGCAGCAATTCCACAACTTTCTGCGATAGGTTTTTCAACACAATTGTAAAAATAATCCATCGCCCTGGAAGCAAAATTTGTAGCTATACTCTCAAATGTTTCTGAATAAAACGGCAAATTGCATTTATTTAGTAGTCAGGAAAATGAAAACTGTTGGGAGCAATATATTACGTGATGTTTACAAATATGAGAACCTCTCAAGTTTGATGAAAATTTTGAAAAATTTTGATAATTAGCTAGAATCAAGAACTGATCACAAAAACTGGACCATGCAATAATATATGATGAATGATGCGAATGTTTTACATGATGTAGGTATCATGTGCAAAAAGAGTGTAATTACTGTAAGCTGTAATTTTTAAATTACTTCCAATTGATCGAAAATTATTACTTACTGGCACATCTTTATAAAACGAGTCGGAATCGTAATGCCTGAGTGAGCATTAGCTGCCTCGATATTCTTCAAAGTGATTTCGTGGCACTGTTTCAGCGGAAATCGTCCATCCAAATCTATCAGACAATCTGCGCTTGCCATGAAAGCTTGAAGGCAATCAGTTCAGTCATCGTGATTAATCAGTTAGTTAGTTAAATATAAATTAATTAGTCTGAATCTCTTTTTAATAAAATTGATCTTTCACGCCTTTTTGGAAATAAGTTTAGTCAAATCAGGCAATTTTCTGATGTTTCAGTGAAAGGTTTGTCTTCCATATCTTACTCATATGCTTACAATGCTATCAAAAATCATAATGTTTTTCCAGCTCTGAAAAAATGCTTTCTGAAAACAATGTAGTCATAATAAGTTAAATCATTTTTTTTGAAGTTTTCTTGAGTTCACTTTGACTGAAATTAGTATCCCTTTCGAACTTTTGTTCAAAAAAAAATTGGCATTAAACGAAGATTGCAGCCGAAATAATACGGACTTTCTATTATTATACAGAAAACCATGAGAATAAGCTGCATTAACCGTAAGAAAGTATTACGTTGCAGCTCGAAAAATCATTAAATTATACTTTCATATCCCTCGCTGCACAAAAATCCATATGAAGCATCAATAAGGCTGATCGTAATATGCTTAGGGCATTGCTGTCGTGACTCATATATGCAGTTATTGAACTCTCGAATCAATCTATAAATGAAGTCCTAGTCGTTTCTTTCAAAACTTGTGTGTTTGTCACTTAAAAATCTTTTGAAGCATGTGAACAATTAATTTTTAACTTCGAAAGTTTCCATAATTGGTTTAGAATTGAGAAATATTTCTGACAATCACAAATAACAAGTATGTAAAAATTGTGCATCCCCGAGAAGATATATCACAAAGCTTGCGCGAGAATAATGCAATTTTACACGTTGTAAAAACCGACCTGCAAAGTTCTCGAAAAACATATTTTCCAATTTTTGGTAATGTAAAGGCTTGTCCTAAGCTGTTTGTCACGGTATCCGAAGAGTTTTGATTTTCCTGTAAGTTAATACTTTTACAGAATTGAAATACTTTAAAATTTTAACAATCACAATGTTTTTTAGTCTCATTAGTACTTTTCAAGATCTTTGAAAATGTCATATTTAACAAATCTGCGGTTTAATTTGAAGCTCACATCCTAGTTAACCATTCATATATCAATTAAATTCTACTCTCTCATGGCAGTAGGTCATAATTATTGGTTACACTATTTTTCGTATTTGCCATAGTATTTTTTAAGGTCTTTAATGACTAATTAATCACTCAGTTCCATTTAATTAAATCATTCTGAACTGTAAGCTATGGCGTCGAGAAAGTACTAAATGTAATTTTTGTATTGTTAAATTTCAGTTATTAAATAAGTGTTATAATTTTATTTTCCTGTAAAAATTAATTCCTAAGAATGAAGTTAAAATGAATGGAAAGATAAATGATGGACTGCCAGTTTCATGCAGAATAAATTGCAAGACCAAAGTTTTTGCTTTATGTTTGCTTCTTCTGTGAAAAAAGTGAACTCTTTTATTTATTTAAGAAAATAATTTACTTCATTTATCAAAAATCTTCCTTCTTCAGCATTTGCTTTATTATTGCCCAATTTATTTTCACTGCCTCATTCCTCGCAATATTATGCTTATTGTTTGCTTAATTTATGTATCCTTTTAGAAGCAAATCAATCAAACACTTTTTCCCAAAAATTTCATGAAAAGGAAGAAGTCAATTATTTGCATGCTAGCTTCCCTGCAGTACTTTTGAATTTTAATTCATTGTTCCTAACATCATCCACTGATTTTTCTTTGTACTCCAATAATCAGCAGTTTAGATTTTTAAAATTCTTTCAAATCCTTTTAACTCTCAGTTTTTTTAGAAAGAGTATTTTATGCTACTCTCAAACTCGATGCTTGATGTATCAATATTTTTATAACGAATAAATTTATTTCTTACAGTTCATTTTTTGATTGATTTGTTGATTTGAATTTCTAATGCAAACAGTGAGACTGAATCTGCTTATTTTTGTCGCATTTTCTTGAGAAAACTTGCAAATTTTCGTATAAATTTTGATAAAACAAATGATATCCGCGTCATGAAATTTTCCTGGTTGTTTTTCATTTTTGAAATATAATTCCATTTACGTTTTCACTCCTTCGAGAAGCATTTCTTCTTTTACGGGATTGAAGATGTCACTGATATTTCGATTTGTTTACAATTTTTTTAATCAAGAAAGTTTGAAATGCTTAGTTTAGCAACAATTAATATTTTACAGTGCTAAAGTTGCCGTAAATAGTAGTTTGTTTAAGAGGTGAATGAATTACGCAAAGAATAATTCGAATTTGGACAGCCACAAGATACAAATCAAATTTTTAATAAGTTTTTGTGGCTTTAATTATAATTAAAACCAAATGTGGAAGTCTTTTTGTGTTTGGAGTTATTTGGTGCTTGTTAAAACTTCAGCTCATTCATAAAAAAATAGATTAATTTGTAAATATTCACATAGTGTCTTTAACGAGTAGCTTAATTGCAATATTGAATTCACACTGAATTAATCCATACAAATTTTCTAGATAATTCCTATCATTTGATATAATCACTCATTAGATTATATAAGATTCTACGAGTTTTTGAACGACATGATGATAAATTATTACTATACAGCTGTGATATTCTTCACTCTGTTAGCATGCAACTAAAAATAATTCTTTATGAAATCTCTTTGGCTTTTTAAAATTTTGTTCAATAAGCTTTGATTAAAATTATCTGACAACCTGTTGATTGAGAATTTTGGCGTACTGAGCGACGGGTTGAACACACCGCTGAATAGCTTCGTTTATTCGGTACGAGCAGTGTGACTTTGCAATTTCGAAATGAAGTAATAGACTGCCTAATAGAAAGTTTGTCAGCTAAATAATTCTCTAACTCAAACAGAAAAAGTTAAGAGTAGAAATAATTTAAAAACGATTTCTGTAACGTCCAGTGTGGAATAAATCAAATTTCAACATTCACGCAGACTGTGTTATCAGGACTAGATATTGAAATCTGCAACTTCTTACTACTGACTGAAATCATACAGAACACAAATATGACTTTTTTGATATCACATTTACACTAGACGTTAGAGAATTCTCTCTGACTTTTTTTTTTGACTTTCATACTTTCAGAACAAACTTTTGACTTAATTTCTATATGACAAATTTTCGACAAAGAACGTTGTAATAGGTGAGCTATAAAAGAAACGACTTGAAATTTTTATTTAATTTTGAAAATTAAAAAAATTTTGTAAGTGCCACAAATACCGAAAATTTTATCAGAATTGAAAGCAACTTACCAAAGATAATAATGACAGAATTTCCATTCCCTTGAAGCATATCTAGTACTGAAAATTGCTTAAATTATCTCGTGATGCAAATTCAGCGAGCAATTACATGGCTCATTTCATTCAGTTTCAATTCCATTATTCAAAATTATTTCTTTATATATTACATTTTTTCTCATCGCATTTACGCTTGCAAGATTTTGCAGCTGAGCAGTGATATCCAAATTATTTCTTCTAATAGTGTGAACAGAAGTATTTGCTTACGCACAAGTTTTAATTAAAAACTTGTATTTGCATTCTAAAAGTTATTTCCAATACAAAAGCAATGCGATAATATTAATCATGAGAGAAAATTCAAAAATTTAATCAGCAAAACACTCATTTATCCTGAAATTTATTAATTTCAGATTTGGTATTTTCCACCATCTTTATGCAAGAAATTGTTGAATTCGATTCAAACAAATGACTTTAATTTTGTGAAGGAAGCTTCACTTTATTCATTATCCCTAGATCTTGTTTCGCTTCATTCTTAAAAGACGAATATTTCAAGCATGAATATGTTTGCTCCGAAAGAAAATAAGCATAACTTGAGCCATTCAAGATTGTTTTTCGTTAATATATTAGGCACATATTTATTTTAACTTCGCACCTACCAAAATTAATGCAAAATACTATACTGAATATTAATGAACACAAAGAATGTTCTAATATGAGATTAATTATGCATTTATCAAATTAATACATTACTTTCGGCACTTCGGAAAATCAAAATTATATGTTTGCTAAAATTTAGCATGCAAAAATGATGACAATTAATGAGCGATTGTAGAACAGAAAAGGTGACATTGTTGTTTACATTAATTAGTTTACAGTTAATTATTGGATACACAGAATGACAGCGATTGATTCAAAGAATTGCAAATGAAAAGAAAGGTTTGTCAGAAGATATATTTACAAAAAGCCAAAGTTGTACAGCTTACTGTGCTAGAACTACTCAAAACAAACACTTTTTCAATTTAAACATGAACGTTTTGTTCCGAAATATTGCAAGTATTTTCTTCATGATTTTAAGATGAAAATTTGAAAGTACTCACAGAATGGAAAAAAACTGTTATATCGGAAGGAGGGCGTTTGTCCACATGGCTAATTCCAACTCAATTCAAATTATTTTCCACTATTTAAATCAGCAATCTGAGAAAAATACTTGTACAAATCTGATGAAATTGACGTTAGATCAATTCTGTTCCAACGAACAGCATCAAACTAATCGAATTTGCAGGAATTAGAGTGATTCTATGCTCTCCGTCAATTTAAAATGCATTGCAAGTTTTCAAGTGAAAAGGATTGTGAAACTTTTCATTTATTATGAATCCTGCTAAACTTTTTGCTTCTTGCTATTAAGTAAATTAAGCATATTATCTTGTAATCTGAAAATTAATGCACGATGAGATCAGACTATCTGAAATTCTGCACAGTAGAAAATTTAAGAAAAGACGTTTTCATTGCTGAAAAAAAATTAATCTAAAGCATATTAGCTGATTATTGTCCTATATTTTACAGCTGCATACTCAGTTACTACAAATATCCATGGCTTCAATTGTTGCATAATCAAAATTTACCAACATTAAAATTCAAGTGGAATCTTGACAATGACTCAACCTTATTTGGCTATTCTTTATCTACTTAAATGCAATTCTACGTAGAATAATACGCCGAAATTAGAACAGTATGTGAGATAATAAAAAACGGTCCTATGTCTTATTTCACGATTTAACTGTTTATAGGTAGGTGTTGGAGAGAGCATTTGAAATGGAGCAAAATCCCCACGCTATTCATTGATTGTATGAAAAATAACCAAGTAAAAAATTGAAATTGTATTTTCCACATTGCAACGTGTTCCTTTTGCAATTGTGAGTAAGGTTGAAATGTATTCTTTTGTCCTTAAACATATCTTGCAAATATTTTAGAAAGAAGCTCCTCACTTACGTGATCTTACATCGTTTCACATGCTGAAAACTCTTTCTACGTTCTTCTGAAAAATCACTTTTTAAACTATTTCATTCTTAAAGTTATTCTACTTTGAATGTTATTATTATTCGTATATATTCATGTACTTTTTCACTAAATCGTTTGTAATGAAATCTTCATAAAGTCTTTAAAGACGTAATCAGAATCGAACAATGAAATATATTCCGCTTCACAATTGTTTTCATTTCTCAAAAAATTTCAATCTGAAAATGAGCCACCAAATATTATAATTTGACATAGTTAATTCCTTGTTCTGCTAATTCTAAATATTGTGTACTACAATGCAGAATAATTTGCCATAAAACTATTCCGAAGATCAACGGTGAAAAACAGTAATCATGCAAAGTTGATGTCCAGTATAAAAACAGAAAAGACTGATTAAAATGTTCTCAAGAAATAGCTATAACTTGCAAGAAGAATGAGAGAAAATAAAAAAATAAAATGAATTTGATGCAAGCAAAATTGAAGTGCACTTATTAAGGATGTACCTAAAATAGGTCAGTAAGTAATTAAACGGAGATAAAAAGAAATAAGTAATGTGTAACTCTGTTGGAAGTAATGGAAATTCTAAGCAAACAAAAAGCTAATTCCTTCCCAGTCAAAAAGATCAGAAGTAAGCAAAAATAGATATGAAGCACTTCAGCAATGCGACCAAATTGTCACGGATAAGTAGCATCTTGAGTGAGTTGAGTGGAGATTCCATTCATCTCTAATGACAATTGACCTTTCTCATTTAAGCTTCACTTCTATCCTAATAACTTTCTAACTCTTCTTCAGGAAGTCATCACTAATTCCATTTATCATTGATGTAGAACATTTTAAATTATGTTTGCAACAGTCATAAAAATCAACGAAACAAAGCTAAATACCCACAAAACCACTGTCAGTGATAATAACGATAAGATAATATTATCCGCAATGGAACATCATGTAGTAACGCTTATAGTCATAATAAAAAAACTATGCAATGATAGCGAGTAGAAAAGTGGTGACAACAAGCAACTAAAAATAAGAACATAATTAGCTGTGCTCTAATAACAATTAAATAGCCAGTGAGTCCGTCAATTTTAAAAATGTCATTTTTGCTATATTCACTAGTATTACGAGTTATTTACTGTTGTGAATGCGTGTTTATTTTTTTGCATTTATCATTCAATTTGGCATTTTCTCATTTTACATTTAATCACAATTTTAATATTGATAATGACAACCGATATAACTTGGATTTCTAGCATCCTTTTCTCGAATATTCTGATGACAGTAGTCGTGAGCACATATTATCATATTCTCATATCATGCTAAATAACAAATAACAACATTAATCTCTTTGACGTTATTAATGTCTTCCGAATCTTTTGATATAAACGTGTTAATAATAATTAGGAGAATGGCAAAACGAATATTTTTAGTACTGAATGATCTTCACGCACAGACTAGGAATTTTTGGAAATTCGATTAGACTACAAATTCTTTGTCTAACAAGAAGAAAAAAGGAACAGAGTAAATTCTTGAAGAATCCATAGTTAGGCTCCAAGTAGTGAAAGCGAATTTAAAAACATGAAAATATCATGCTTACTTCATGCAAATGCTTATAGTAAGCTGATTATTCTGATTTGAGCCAGCTGAAGAATTAAACAAATAAAGCTGAAAAAACTACAGCAATTCTCTAATTTTATTTGCAGTGCTATCGAAAGTAATTTTTAGTCATAGCTTTCAATTTTAATTTTCTTGTATGCATTTTTCGAGTTTTGTTTAGTTTAACTTCTTAAATAAGAAGGTAATTCAGGAAATCAAATATCTTTGAAATCAAATATCTTCTTCAGTAATTATCAGGGAACGTTTCAGAGTAGTGATTTTCATGCTCATGGAACGAAACTACAATTGTAAGGTTGTGAACAACTAACAAATGAAAAAACAGTGGTTGAAAGTGGCTTCGATTTCTATTTTTACATCTAACTAAAATTCCTAATTCGTTTTATTCACTTTTTGAGTTTGATATTTAAATAAAACAAGTGTGGTTTTTATGCTATTTCCTATTATATTTCAAGTATCATAGAGTTGCATCAAAAAGTAAAACGTGAAATTTTTAAAAGTTGGGGAAAAATCACTTCACAATTTTCTTAGAATTTTTTCATCGAAACTTCCTCCTTGATACTTTATACCATTTAAAAGCTATTATTTCACTTTAATTATTCAGCTGAATATATAGCACTTGAATTTTTGGATTTATTTTCACGAATACCTCATATTTTATTCATTTGTGAAAATTTCTTTGATGCGACTGATTAGCAAATAAGCAAAAAAAGCACCACAGACAAAAAAATAAAATGTATTCTTGGTATTGCTCATAAAAAAAGCATTAAAAAGTTGCGAAAAGTTGCATAAAATGAGGATTTATTAACAATTTTTAAAACATGGATGATTTATGGTAAATGACCTGTCTTAGTTCAACAAAGTGCTTTGCAAAAAATTATTTATTTTACATGAGATTTCGTAATTTATTAAAAAATGAACAAGTCAATGTTATGAAATAAGATTTTGATAATTAAGCGAAATTATCAAAATTCTATTTTAGCCTAAAAATGAACTTAAAGAATACTTTATAGATTTATGCGAAAAATGAAAGGTCAAATCTGAAATATTATGCAGAACAAATATTTTTATCCTCATAAGAATTTGCAATAAAATTGTATTGGAACTAAAAATTTTCATACGAATTTTGCTCAAATAAGAAAATAAATCTTGCATCGCTTGGGAAGCTTGCCAAGAATTTTCAAAGTACTCCTTTGATGGAAACTCAAGTGAATAATCAGTGCTTGTATTTGGACTATTTTAACAAAATAATTTGCAGTTAAGTTTATTTTCTATTCATGGGGAAGTTCCGACTTTTTAATTTTTAAAAAATCCAACATTTTTACTTATATTTATTAAATACTAGGATGTAATATTGAATTTAATCTCAGAATGAAAAATGAAATAAAGATGAGATATATTTCTGGCTGCAAAATGTTAAAAATGCTTGAATTTATTGCTTTCTGAAAGATATCTGAATTAGTCAAACTGTTATTAAAAACGAAATTTGTATAGCACATACTGTTTACAATAAAATAA